GGGTCTCCAGTTAGGAGAATGTGAAATGCAAGGATGTGGGACTGGCCTAAGGTATAGGAGGAGCAGGGGGAAAAACAAGGATTATTAATCGTGGTCAAGGAGCAAAGAGCACTATGAAGCCTCAGGATTTCTTCAAGGGATACTGCTGTGCCAGGTCTAGAGGGCAGAAAGATACAACCATGAGACACCAGGACTACCAAGCTGATGGGGTTACCTGGCCTTTGGACAGCACCTTACGATATGCAGTAAGGAAGCAAACTAGAAAGGCTGCAATGCTAGAGGTTCAGAGACAGTCAATAGGGAGTAGAAGGGCCTCTGCTGCTCTGGGAAGATTCTTACAGGGTAAATAAGCTCTTACTGTGCCTAAGAGAAAGGGAGAGGGAGGCAAGGATGTGTCATGGCCTTAACTTTCTAGAGGTTCATATTTATTGGCATTTGACCTAGAGTCCTCACCATGGGCAAGGCGCAGCCCTGGGCCATGGATAGGAAAATTAGCATTGTACTTTCTCCTCAATTCCATCTGTTAATCCACCAGGCCAAATCCCTCTCACCCTCACCTGTCATCCAAAGAAGATAAAATGGTTCAGGGACATAATGTGCTGAAGCTGTATCTCTGGATTTGGAGATCACTCCTCGATTTTTCACTTCCACACGATTCCTTGGGGCAGGCAACCAGTGAACGACACTGCATATACACCTGGCTTAAAGTTACTGACTTGCGGCCACTTGGAGATCTAGCTGTCCTCTGGACTCATCATTGCAATGATTCCATCAAAGGAAGAGCTAGTGTGGTCATATACCATCTCTCGGTTACTCTTCATCTGTACATAGGCATCACAGTCGTCACAACCATCATATTCAAACTGGTCTATAGACTTGACCAGCAAACACAGCAAACAAGCCCATAGATGCCGCAAGTTCTTTGGCACCGTCTCCGGGGCCATCTTCTGTGATCAAGAAGATCATTTTAAAAGTCCATTTATAATACTGATTTATATGTTTATGTATTTTCTGACATAATTTACTGTAGCCTGTATAGCTAAGTATGAGGCTTGTAGTTATGGTTGTAGGCTTTAGAGATTGATAGACATGCCTACATTTAAATCTTCACAGATTTATAGCTGTTATGGTAATGGGTTATTCACCTTTTTTAAGCTTCAGTTTCTTGCTCTGTAAAAAGGAGATGACACCAAACCCACATGGTTGCTAGAAGGATTAATTTATGCAATAGACATTTCATAAAGCTTTTAACAAAATACCAGGTCAGTACTCAGGAATTGTTAGCTATTTTCATGAGCATTGACAATTTTAGAAGTAAGATTGACTTTTATTTAGACAATGAAGAATAAAATGTCAATATCATATTCTTTAATTTCTTTGAAAAGCAACAATTTTTCTTCTAGCGGCCTTTTAAGTTTACTTTTAATTAATTAATTAATTTATATTTTTCACAGGTTCTTGAGTCCTGAATTCATTCCTCGAAGGGGAAGAACACATCCTCTGAAATTTCAAATAGAAAGAAAAGATATGTTAGAAAGGAGAAAAGTACTCCACATTCCAGAGTTCTATGTTGGTCAGTAAGAGCTGTATGCTTTTATTATTAGTGATTGGATGGTTAGTTTCTTTGCATAAAGACGATTGTTTTTTACGTACCTGGGTTATGCCATATGAGGTATTTATTCCTACATTAAAAGATTTAGGGGCAGGCGCGGTGGCTCAAGCCTGTAATCCCAGCACTGTGGGAGGCCGAGGCGGGTGGATCACGAGGTCAAGAGATCGAGACCATCCTGGTCAACATCGTGAAACCGCGTCTCTACTAAAAATACAAAAAATCAGCTGGGCATGGTGGCGCGTGCCTGTAATCCCAGCTACTCAGGAGGCTGAGGCAGGAGAATTGCCTGAACCCAGGAGGCGGAAGTTGCGGTGAGCCGAGATTGCGCCATTGCACTCCAGCCTGGGTAATGAGCGAAACTCCGTCTCAAAAAAAAAAAAAAAAAAAAGATTTAGGCAGTTAAGAAGTTATCTAGAAATGCCGTTTGTTTGTTTCTGCATCTTATATAAAGTTTACTTCTCAGCTGGGTGCGCTGAAAAAAAGTTCACTTCTCTTTTGAACTTGTAGGAAGTATTCTTCGTGTTACTACATCCGACCCATATGCCAATGGAAAAATCAGCCGGTTTCTGGGGATTTGCATCCAGCGATCAGGAAAAGGACTTGGAGCTACTTTTATCCTTAGGAATATTATTGAAGGACAAGGTAAGTTTTATTTCATCATTTTCAGTGTCTAGAAAATGTTATCACAGGATTTCTTCTTGTTTCTGCATCCTGGTATAAGAAATCTGAAACTTGAAAGTAAAAGGGGACTCTGAGGGAAGATGTGGAGCCTGTGGCTTTAAAATGGATTGAGATTTGAGGTTGATGATTAAATATGGTTGATGATCTTCTTTCTCTTGAAGGCTTCCTATATTATTGGAACAACAGTCATTAGAAGTAGACTTCGCAAACCATGGCAACATCAAAGCGGGGAAATAAGTGACCATAAAGCAGTATGGGGATATTCCTTTTAGGAGTAAATAACCCTTGAGTACTTTAAGACAAACGTTAATGTCCTCATGAATTACTTGCTCCTAAAATGAATACCCACATTTTACTTTATGTTATGACACAAAACAAAATCATCACTGTTTTATATGATTTGGGAGGAATTTTAAAAAGGCAAAATTGTGTTTGTATACTATTCCTAATAGGCAGAGGAACAAGTAGTAAAACTAGCAAGATTATGAATTAAAATGGCAGGTACAGTTAAGTTTATAAAGTTGTATGCTTCATGATTTCCAACAACAAAGTATTCTTATTTTCAAAGATCGTGAGAGCAGTTGCTGTCTTGCTTATTCTGTAATGACCTAGTGGGCTGTGCATGTAGGCATTCAGCAGGACTTGATTGATCACAGAAATTTGTGCCTTAAATCAGGTCAAGTACTTGGAGAAGCCTTGTAATAGAAGTAAATGAGCATAGGAGTGAGTCATTTGATTTTCTTTAAGCATTAAGATGTTAATAGTTTCCACTCTGCATGGTTCTAGTCAGTCAGCTGTGAGATACTGTACTTGAAGTACTGGACACATAATACTCAAAAAGGATTAGCTCCCTCTTGCCATTCTCTATAATATGTCTGACTATTGTAACCCACTTCAACCTTCCCCATCACTGCTTCCTGCATTAGTGTTTCCTTCTTGTCCAGTGGCTTTGTATACCATCTATATAATGATAACTTCCAAATTTATAACTCCAGGACTGACCCTTTTCAAGTTCCTGATTTGCATATGCAACTACATGATCAATACTCTATTGAGAGGTCTTATCAGCATAATTTGAAAACAGAACCTTTTATTTTCCCTTGCACAGTGTTCCACTCACAGTCTTTTCTATTTCCATAAATGGTACCACTGCCTACCTACTTATTTTCACACATGCAGTCAATCAAGTTTTCTTGGCACAGTTTCCAAAAGCTATATTGCAATTTTGTCTGTTCTTCCCTCTCCATTGCTGTCACCCTCATCCATGTCACCATCATCTGCCTGCATTTGTGCAGTCTTTCTGGTTTACGTTTCTGGTGCCTTACTCTGTTTGTGCTGTTGTGACAAAATGCTACAGACTGGGTAATTTAGAAAGAACAGAAATTTATTTCTCACAGTTCTGGAGGCTGGGAAATCTAAGATCAAGGTGCAGGCAGGTTTGGTATTTCATAAGGCCTCCTTCCCTGCTTCTGAGATGGTGCCTTGTTGCTTGTGCTCTGGAAGGGCCAAGCACTGTGCCCTCACATGGTGAAAGGTGGAGGGGCAATAGGCAAAACTAGTTCTCTCCAGCCCTTTAAGCAACTAATCCTTAATCAAAGGAGCTTCTAACCAAAGTTGGAACTTAAAAATTTACTTACCCCTTTTGCATCATAAATCTTATACTCTTAACATGGAAGACTGATTTTTCTTCAAGTTATTGGGAGATAAAAACACGACATAGGGAAGAATTCAAACTTTCTCTGAAGTTACTTCTATGAGATTTGAAAAGATATGTGACAACATATTTATAAAAGCCAGTTTTTCTTTTTTAGACTATCATTCCAATTCAGACTTTCTCACTTTATATTTAAATGGATTTTAGCTTATTTCTATTTCTTTCACTAATCTTTATCTTAAAAATTTCAAATTAAAAGCACATTTTCTACATGCAAAACTTTGTGCTAATTCCTTTATGAAATGCTTTTACTGTAGCATGAAACATGTATAGGAATGTGGACTTAGATTGTAAGAATATGTTTTTGTTTCTATTTAGGTGTCGAGATTTGCTTTGAACTTTACAATCCTCGAATCCAGGAGATTCAAGTGGTTAAATTAGAGAAACGGCTGGATGATAGCTTGCTATATTTACGAGATGCCCTTCCTGAATATAGCACTTTTGATGTGAATATGAAGCCAGTACCACAAGAGCCTACCCAAGAAATTCCTGTTAATATGGTATGTGTTATACATTTGAAACTAGAAGTTCAAGCTTAAGAAAGGATCATCTTAATGAAAACTTCAGAAGAATTTTTGCTTATGCCTATCAGCCTAATTATTTTTTTCTTTTCTTTTTCTTTAATCTTCCTTAGCTGAAAGTGAAAATGAAGCCTAAGCCCTGGTCTAAACGCTGGGAACGCCCAAATTTTAATATTAAAGGAATCAGATTTGATCTTTGTTTAACTGAAAAGCAAATGGAAGAAGCTCAGAAGTGGAGTCAGCCATGGCTTGAATTTGATATGATGAGGGAGTATGATACTACAAAAATTGAAGCTGCAATATGGGAAGAAATTGAAGCATCGCAAAGGTCTTGATTCTGAGAATGAATTTGGTTAGTTGCAGAGGATATATTGGCTCTAAGAGGATATATTTTGAGACCAATTTAATTTCATTTATAAGAACATAGTAATTACGTGAACTAAGCCTTCATTATTTTATTAATACTTTTTTCCTAAAATAAAACTTATGCACCAGTTTATTACTCTAAAAAGAGAATTACACATGCCAAATGGTCCCATGTCCATTTGCCTATTGGAGGCAAAGCTACAATAGAAGTCAGAGCATCACCAGAATGTTCTTTAATGAGCATGTAATCTGAGCAAGGGGAATAGATGGCATGATTTTTTGTAAATTGTGAAATGTTTATAAACACAACGTATGATTTACAGAATAATAAAATAAACATTCATGTACCCACTATCAGGTTAAGAAATAGAACATTTAGTAATATCTAAGAAGGTTAAGAAATAAAACATTTAAAAAGATCTAAGACTCCTGTATGTCTGCAATTGTATCCCTTTCCTTTTTAAATGTAAATATCTCGACTTGTTAATCATTCGCTTGCATTTCTTTTAGTTTACTTCTAACATATATATTCTTCAACAATATATTTAATTTTGAAAAACCTGTTAGCCAGTATAAAGGGGCAGTATTGCTATTATTGCATGAAGGCTTCAAGGAAAACATTACAGTCTTTGGGTCACAGTCTGGCTTCAGCCGCCCCTGAGAGTTTACAAAAGCCAATTTTGAGCATGTTCATAGCCAAGGTTAAGAGTGAGTTCTGCTAAACAGAAGGCTCACGACAGGGTATGTGGCAGGATTATAGCATGGACTGCGTAACTGAATGTGACAGAAATGTGGTTAAAGGAAGTAAACTATTTTTTTTATGCTCACAGCATGATGAATCAAACTCTATTTTAGGATTAGGTCAAAACAGTACCTTTAGGATGATATGAATGCTGTTGCTGATCCATACAGCATAGATTGGAAAGCTAGGATATAATCATACATTCTAAAGAAAAGCATATAATTTGGTCCATATTCACCAGAGCATACTGTTCCTCAGGTTAAAAAGTATAGTAGTATCCTAAATCTTGCAGGCAACTCTCAACCTGTCCATTGAGTTACCTTCAGATCTGCCCTCTGGTTCCTAGCTGTCTTAGAACTAACTTCTTTCCTGCGCTCAGCTGCTTTCTAGATTCCATTATTGAGTACTAACTTGTTTTGTTGGATCACATCCTTTGGTAGCTTCTAGAGGAAGTTTGTGTGGTGGTAAAGTTTTTGAGACCTTGCATGTCTTTCATGTTTGATTGATACTTTATACATTTAGGTGGGAAGTAATTTTCCTTCAGAACTTTAAAAATATTGTTGCTCCATTTTCTTAATTTCCATTGTTGTATTGAGAAATCCAAAGCCATTTTGATTTCTGTTTCTCATATAAATTTCATGATGATGTGCCTTGGTGTGGGTCTATATTTATCCATTTTATTGCGCTTCAGGTGAATCTTTCCAAGGTAGTAATTCATTTCTGTCGGATTTGGGAAACGTTTAGCATTGGTTGATGATTTCTTCTCTGCTGCTTTGTTCTCAAAACTTATTTGGATGTTGGATATCCAGCACTGGGTATCTGTTTTCTTACCTCCCTCCCCGACCCCAGTCTCTTGTTTTTTAGCTCTTTAGCTCAATCTTCCGACTCTTTGCTATTTTTAAATCTTAAGAACCCTTCTTGCTTTGTGAAAGTTTCTTTTCTTATAACCAAAAAGCCTTTATCTATGGGTTTGTTCATAGATAAGGTGATTCATTATAGTGTTTGTATTTTTTCATTTAAAATAGTTTGCACATCTGTTTCCTCCAAATTTCTTTCTGTATTTATTTTTGTTGTCTATATTTCAGGTTTTTCCAGGATATCTGGCAATCCTTGGCTGTCTTCTTATGGTTGAATGAAGGACTAAAAAACTTGGAAAGCCTTGGACTTGTGGGAAGGGGTTGTCTTTAGGGTTATCTGAATGGGCTTTTTTGGGAGTCCCCTCCTCCACATGAATGTTTCGGTTTGGTCAGATTCTCTAGAATAGAGGCTTCCAATCTCCTTGGAGGGGTCTGTCAGCAGCTTTCACCTGCTTCCTTCATCTTTTTCACTAATGATTATATAGTCATCTAACTGCTGTCAACAAGTGACAGATAACCTATCCTTCACTTGTTTAGGTTATTTGTTGAGATAACCTCTAAAAAGAACCTTTCAAAATAAAAGATTAACAAGAGCTATATCTTATACTTTTCTTCTCTTTATCTTGTTAGAAGATAGCTATTAAAACCCGTTCTTTTACTGCCTTGATAAGCACGTCAACCTTAGTAGAATGGTAGATGGGTATATTTCAGCATCTAAAGCTCTGCAAATGTAAGTACAGGTGCTCAAAACATGTAAATAATTGTGCTTTTTACTCTAGGAATATCTTTAAAATTCTTACAAATATTCCCTCAGAAATAAAATTAAATGTGCATAGTCTAACACTTTTTTCTTGTGGTAGGACATATATAACATATTTTGCCATTGTAAACATTTGAAATATACAATTCAGAGGCATTAATTACCTTCACAGTGTTGTGAAATTATTTCCAAAATTTTCTCATCACCCCAAACTGAAATTCTATAACTGTTAAGCAATAACCTCACTCCTGTATCTTGCCCAGCCCCAGGTAACCTCAAATCTTTCCTTTTATTTTCGGGATAAGGTCTCATTCCATTGCCCAGGTAGGAGTGCAATGGTGTGACCATAGCTCACTGCAGCCTCAAAATTTTGGGCTCAAGCAATCCTCCCACCTCAGCCTCCTTAAGTAGCTGGGACTACAGGCACATGTGGCTGATTTTGTTTTTTGTAGAGATGTGGTCTTGCTATGTTTCTCATGCTCCTGGCCTCAAGCAGTCCTCCACCTTGGCCTCTCAAAGTGCTAGGATTATAGGCATGAGCTACTGTGCTTGGTTGAATCTACCTCCTATTACTTTGCCTATTATAGATACTTATTAGCAGAATCATCCAATATTTGTCCTTTTGTGTCTGTTTTATTTCACATAGCATAATGTTTTTAAGATTCACCCGTATTGTGGCATGTATCAGAATTTCATTCGTTTTTATAACTAATATTCCATTGTAGGTATACATATTTTGTTTATTCATCCATCTTCTGTTGAACATTGGGATATTTCTACCTTTTGGCTATTGTGAATAATGCTGCAGTAAATATTGACATAACAAGCATGTATTTGATTGCCTGTTTTTAAGTTCTTTTGGGTATATGTCTTGAGTGGAATTGCTAGATAATGTCATGTTTTATTTCTAAAATAAAGGAGTTAAAGCTAGTTAATTAACATCTCTCCCCGTCTTTCCAGTTTTTGCAGATTGGTTCTGTGCTGGGCTCTTCCCTCAATACTTAGCCAGGCTTGTACTGAGCCTAGCAGTCAGCCCCAAAAGTGTAGGGTCTTTGCAGGTCTTGTCTGAGCATACTTCTTGCTGTGTATGCAGGTGGTTTTCTAAATCTCCCTGTATGAGCTGTTGAATATTCTGATTTCCCAAAGAAACTCCTCTTTGTAGCCTTTTCTCCCAGAACATAGATGGGTTTTTGGGTATCTTGACTATAGTCTTTCGACCCAGGTGTTTGCAGGTTGTTTGTTCACCTTACACTTTTTTCAAGCGATGCCTACTTTTTCTGGCCTGAGTTCTAAGGTAAAACAGTGATGAGTGCTCTGTCAATCCTTTGAGCAGCTCCAGACAGGCTACAAGAGACTTAAGAATTTCTAAGTTCTGCTCTGCTTTCTCTAGAAATGGGAATCAGGGTCCAACACAATGTAGTTGCTGTTTTCAAGACTGCTGCAACACCAGGGAGCTTGTGGGCTAAGGGCGAGCAGGAATGTCAGAAAGCTTTCTCACCATTTTAAAGTTGCGTCTTCTTGATTCAGCATTTGCTTCATTGCTATAAACGTTTTACTGTTTTCCAGAGTTCTGACAAAACTGGCTATGCCTGTTCCTGTTTTTTTTTTTTTTTTTAAATTTTTTAAAGATGGGGTCTCACTATGCTGAGTAGGCTGATCTCAAACTCCTGGCCTCAAGCTATCCTCTCAACAACTTCCCAAAGTGCTGCAAGTACAGATGTAAGCCACCACACCCAGCCCCTGCTTGTTTTTCAGTGTTTCTGATGTTGAATGTGCCTACTCCACCATGTTGTTCAAGTGTATATATTTTCTAACCTACCCTGTAGTGTTGTGATGGGAAGTTATAAGCTTAAAAGAAATAATTCCCTGAGCCTTTTGTATAACTCAAGAAAGATCAAAAACTTAGTTTATCCTATTAGAAGGATTAGAAAAATGATGTATCTTTCACTTTTTCAGGGATAGGCTATTCTGCCTCATTAGAAGGCTCCTATTTGCTGGATGCTGTGCCAGACATTTCATTTCTCTTAATGTTTACAACAAGCTTGTTGCCAAGGCTGATCTTGAACTCCTGGCCTCAAATGATCCTTCCAGCTCAGTCTTACAAAGTGTTGGGATTGTAGGTTGGGCCACTGCATCTGGTGGACTAATGACTATCTTAACTCTTTTCAATGTTTATGCCTACTTTTTTCTTAACTGATTGTATGACTGTCTTCTGGAAGAATACTGAACAGAAAATGGTGAGAGCAGAAATGCTTGCTTTAATATTTCACCATTATATATGATGTTAGCTATAGACTTTTCTCACAGATGCCCTTTATCAGATTGAGGAATTTAGATACCTAATTTGCTGAAAGGTTTTTGTAGTCTCAGGGGGTGATAAATTTTGTCAAACGCTTTTTTGTAGTAATAGAGATGATTCGTTGGTACAGTCATTGAGATGTGGATTTTCTCCTTTATTCTGTTTATAAGTGATTACACTGGTTGACTTTCTAATGTCAAACCAACCTTACTTTCCTGGAATAAACCCTATTTGGTCATGACATATTATCATGTTTTTTGTAAACTGCTGGATTGGATTTGCTAACTATTTTAAGGAGTTTTATTTCTATGTTCATGATAGATATTGCTGTTATTTTCTCATGATGTCTTTTTCAGGATTTGTGTCACATGGCATTTCTTAGGCATATCTAAGTATCATTTTGTCAAGGACCTCAGAAATGCAAAAATCGATTGTTTTGAGGTAGTTTTTCCATCATGAAACAAATTTCTTTAAAGTCATCTGTCTGATTCTGTAAAAATTTCACTTTTTTTTTTTTTTTTGAGATGGAGTTTTGCTCTTATTGTCCAGGCTGGAGTGCAATGTCACGATCTCGGCTCACCGCCAACTTCCGCCTCCAGGGTTCAAGCAATTCTCCAGCCTCAGCCTCCTGAGTAGCTGGGATTACAGATGTGCACCACCACACCTGGCTAATTTTGTGTTTTTAGTAGAGACGAGGTTTCTCCATGTTGGTCAGGTTGGTCATGAACTCCTGACCTCAGGTGATCTGCCCGCCTCAGCCTCCCAAAGTGCTGGGATTACAGGCATAAGCCACTGTGCCCAGCCAAATTTCACATTCTTTATGTGAACAAAAAGCTGAAAAAAATCCAGGGAAAGAATTAAGATGTGGTATGAATTGCCAACTCAATTTTTTGTTCTTGCTAGTCGTGTTATCCCTCTCTATTTCATCCATTTCTCAGTAATAAGAAAAAAAAAATTTTCCATTGAGATTTAGGTAAATTTTTGAATTACAGTATATGACAGATAAAAACCTTGAGGTTCAAACTCCAGGTATAATGAAATTTAATTGAAAATTACTACAGCAGTTTAAGTCAATCTGTAATTTTGAAAGCAGTTTTAATATTTTCTCTTCCACAAAAAGGAAGGTTTCTCTGCTGAACTTAAAAATATAAAGGAAATATCCAACATATCTTTAGTTAAAAATCCAGAAGTCAGATGATAATTTCCAAATGCGTATTTTAATAGAAAAAAATTACAAATTTCATATGCAATAAAGTATCTGCTACTTATGTAAAAAAACCCAAAACTTTATGTACACATAAAAACACATAACATTTTTGTAAATAGAGAAGAGGTCTGAAAGGATAACATTAAAATGAAAACAGCAGTTACCTCTGGGGACAACAGTTGTGCAGAAATGATAACTGCTTTTCAACAATGGTTTGATTTTCTAGATGAGATTCTATTGTATAATTTGTGTAACTAATATAAACATTAAAAAATTCTGCAGTGAATCACAAGTACTCACTGCAATAGACATAACACACTCAACTCCTAAAATAAATTATACTCAGTTTTGAAGGTAGGGGGTGACATAAAAGTCGGCAATATATTCAAATCCTACAATATAATCAAATTTTCCAATTATTTTTGGGCAATAATTTGCAAAATATATTTACGGTTTCCATTAAGATACTTAATAAGTAGACTTAGCAAAATTGCTAGTAAACTAACATTTTAGAAAATTTTCTTAATTTCTTTTGATTAAATTATCCTGCCTCAGTCTTATTAGACAAATATTTTATCAAAAAAGGAATCACATGTTCTGAGTATTTATAATACCTGTTTCCTTTTCAGTCCTACCAATGACAAAAA